TATTGACGGTTTGCGATAAAAACAATATATGGTCATAGTTCGGCTTGTAGGCTGTACCTTAAACCAAAATATACCAAATAAACCATTCACACAATAATATTTCTCTTTATAATTCAAATAAAAAGTAAATAACTTAAAATTTTATGAAAATCAATAATTCTTTCTGTTTTGTACCTTGTCATTTAAAAAATCAAACTACCGATATTATAAAAACTGTTAACACTGGAAAACAATCTAAAAATAAAAATATGAACACCACTAAATAACACTAATAAAATAAAAAATATTAACTTAAATAACCTAATGTACGAACCTCAGCAGAATATTTTCTGTCACCTCGATTTTTTGTGACACACCTTCATCCCTAGCAACCTGATGAGGTCACTGTTTCATTTTACAAACCATGATTGCGTTCAACTGAACGACTATATTTCATATCCATTCTAGGTAGTGAGAACACTGCAAAGAAAATGAAAACCATCAAAGTTTATATTTTGGTCACCCGGCTAGTATTATTTTTTAAATTTTAAATAAGTGATAATTCTGTCAAACATAAATTATTTTTAAATTAAATAGTTATTTTATCCTACAGTAGTTCACGTTTAAGAATTCAATAAAATTGAAATATAAGGTTAATGAAGGTGTCTTTTACGTAACAAAAAAAATTAAATTTTTTGACCGTCGGTAAACAATCAAAATGTGCATAATTTGCACTCTTGAAGCCTGTCATGTACACAAGCAACGCATTTATTTCAGGATATCTCGTAAACGGTTATTACTATATTTTTTAAAAAATAATATAAATGTAAATCAAGAAGTTATACAATTTTCTATAAACGCTGAACTTTTTAACCGTTTTGGTAACATTGTAATCGCTACATTTAACGCGCGGTAACTCAAATGTCTGTTAGATTACTGTAGGCTTGTTTTGGTTCTTTTGGAAACTAGTTCAGAATCACACTCGAACAGCTAAGAGAATGTTATAACCTCACGATCTGTTCTTAAAAAATTAATTCGTCTACTATATTTGAGAACTGGAATCGACGGTTCTGTTTGAATCAAAACAAACCCTTAAAATTAGTATGAGCAAGTCACAAATTTCGATAGGTGTATACACATTTACTCGATAGCCCACCATTCATATATTTGCGACGTTGCCGGCTGGATTTTACTCGAAATAATAAATGTATCCGTATATATAAGCTTACACGTGTTGGGTACAGTCTGTTACAAAATTAACATTTTTTAGCATTGAGAATCTTAAACTTTTGGTATTCAACATTGGGTGATATTTTTGTGTACGACTGTGGCGACTGACCTTAATAACCTAAAATATTTTTATAATTTGTAGATTTTCGTTAGTGGGCCGTAGAAAAAATATACTGTACAACTCGAGGGGATTATCCATATCGCACTCGCCGATTGAGCACTCTGCCTACGATGTCGTGCTCAAACTTTGTCTTCGTGTGATATAGCCATCATAGCCACTCTTGTTGCACAATAGTAGTTGTTTCAAAAAGAGTGGATATGATGGCACAATAGTAGTTTGTGCAACAAGAGTGGATATGGACAATCCACTCGAGTTGTACAGAATGTTTTTCCACGACCTACTAACGAAAATTTACAATTTAAAAAATTATTTTAGGTTATTGAGAAAAAATAATTAATTTTAAAATAATTTATGAATTTTACTAATTCATAAAATAAAAAACTTGAAAACAAAAAGATTTAATTTAATTAGTCTCCAGCTCAGATGTTCGCGGGGAAGGCAGACGCTCTGTCCTCACCTCCACCACCACTTTTGTGATTTTAATTTAATTAAATTTTTCTTTTTTCAAAATGTTGATCAAATAAAAATTTATTGCTATTATTGATCTATTCTACACAAAAGTAACTCATTTTAAAGTTATTTGATCTCACTAACTAAAACATATACTGACAATTTGTTTGACAGAATTATCATTTATTTAAATATTTAAAAATAATATTAGTTGGGTGTCAAAAATATAAACTGTAATTGGTGGATTTAATTTTTGTATAGTTTTATCACTACCTAGAATGGATATGAAATATATTCGTTCAGTTAAACGCAATAGCATACTTTTTCGTTTTATAGTCTTATCGAACCCCTTCCAAAATCATTCTGTATGCTACAATTCAGATATTTTGGTCAAGGGATTATGATCATGATTAATTATTAACTAAATTTCTAGAAAGTTTAATGAATATTTAAAAAGCCTCTTAAAAAACGAATGGGGGTTTGTGGGTTTTGCTATGAATAGCAAGATATTTTAAGACGCTCGCAAACAATCATTATCTCTTTTTGACGTTAAAGCAAACATTTTGTCCACTGTTGTTATCTTCTGAACTTTATCTTTAAATATTTGAAAGTATTTCAAATCTTTACCTATTTTATCAGAGTGACATCTTCTAAAATGATCCTCTAGCTTAGACGGTTTCATAACATCATTGCTTAAAACTTTGTTCCATAGAAGGCACACTTTATCAGGCGTTTCCATATACTTTACCCTGTTGTTAGGTACACGCTAAAGTGTACACAAATCAAAAAATGATATACACGCGAAACGTCATATTGCTGTGGTGGCAGGTGTTTGTGTGAATGCGTCTTGTTTGTTTTCATTTACGCCGTGACTAGCACAGTGGTATTTTATAAACCTTAGAAGCAAATTTCACATACATGAACAAATAAATAATAATGCTGTGACAACAAGAAAACGAAGCAGCGACCTCTCGTAGGGTGGCGGCATCGCCGCCACAAAAAAATTTCAATCCATACCTAGCTACGACCGGCGTAAACATCAACGGCCTGCACACAGCTCACCTACTCTATCAAGACGTTTAGCGTGTATATAAATTTTTGAATTGCATACAAGTTAGCCTGTACCTAGACACTGTGTATACTGTACTACTAAAAGATGGGTCGCGGAATATTGTTCAAAAATTTTTGTTCGAAAGGTATTTAGTTCGAACACATTTTGTTCAAAAGTAATTTACTTCAATTTTTTTAAAACCGAAATCATTTTGTTCAAATGTCTGTTTTAAAAATGAAATACGTACTTTTGACTAAAAAAAATTTCATGAAAAATATTTCATAATCTCAAATAGTTGAATCTAAAAATTGTAAAATATATATATGAAAATAAAAATATTTTCCTGGTATTCTGATTAAAGTAATAAAAAAAAAATTACCTAACCCGCACGGCCTGGAACCATTGCGGGTAGCTTCGTAATTTTGTTTTACATAAAATGAAAATTTTTTTTATTAAATTTAAAAAATTAACTAATTTACCTAATCTGTGCGGCCTGAAACCATTAAAACATTTTTAAACCTACTTTGACAAAAATTAAATTTGCTACCAGTAAAAAATTATATTCATCTTTTTTCACTAAATTTGTCTAGGAAGGATATGTGTTCGAACCAAATAACTTTCGAACAAAATGTTTTCGAACTAAATAACATTCGAACAAAATGTTTTTGAACAAAATTCCTTCGAACAAAAAGATTCGAGCAAAAATTTTCGAACAAAATTCCGCGACCTCTAACGGAAATATTTTGTAATCTTGAACATATTTTTTTCTTACGACCACTTAGGAAAGTGACACATATCACACTAAATAGTCCTATGGAAAGTGCCCTATATCACACGCGTATGAATAAGGATTTACTTTATTTACAACCATATATGTAATGTTGTCATTACTAACGTCATTGAAGGTTGGGAAGTGTCACATTACACACCTCTACTTCCCGCCCTCATTTCATCTATTCTAGATGAATATTTTTTATATTTAAAAAAATAACACATTTTTTTGACAAATTTTATAATACCTATTTAATGGCAAACAATAAAAAACAACAATGAACTAAAATACAACAAACTACTTAGTGATATTTATTATTCGCGAATTTAATATCCGGCTTTATCTGACATTTATTTATATTGGTGACAGTTGATTATTCTGAGAAAACCGCGCGCTTGGTAATTTGTCGTTAAATGTAATATTTTAGGTATGTTCAGAACGAAACAGAGATTTATTAACTTTGATCGAAATATGATGGTTGTAAATAAAATAGTATACAAACCTCGGTAGGATGTTTCATTTCTGTCTCGAGATCATAGCTAACCTCGACGCTTCGCGTCTCGGTGATCTAACTAATCTCACGACAGGAATGAAACTTTTCCCACCTTGGTGTGTGTATTATACTATTTCACCCGTGTACGAATATGCTACTTTCCGCATCAGCTGTCACAAAATGTCAAACTCGTCATTTCTGTTTTGATCTATGTAATGTCTATATTAATACTAAAATCGATATGATTGTTAAATAATTAAAATTGTTGTAAATTAGATACTAGATATTTATCTATAACAATTATTATTAAAATAATTTTAAAATAACTAAGTTATGTTTGCTTTTTATTCTGGTTAAACACATAACCGATTAGATCCTTCAATTGACACAAGGCCTATTAGCTCAGATGGTTAGAGTATCAAACTTTATCAACTTTGCCATTTGAGACCTGGCGAGCGACCGCGTTCAAATCCTTGCGGGGGCAGAATTTTTTTTTTCGTTTTTTTTTTAGTTTTTTTTTTTTTTAGTTTTTTTTTTTTTTAGTTTTTTTTTTTTTTGTTTAGAAAATATGAAAATTGAATAAATACGATTATTTTTTAAATAAAATTTAATTATTATAATAATAACCTGGTTTTACATTTTTTGATGAAATTATTTTGTGGTCGTAAGAAAAATATTGTACATCACTTGTGTGAAAAGTGATTTTCCACACTCGTGTGAAAAATTTCACTTTCCACACTCGTAATGTAATATACTATTTATTACTACAAAATGTACCTAATTATACAATATTATTCAGCATTTTTTATTTTATAGAGTAATGTTAAAGAATTATAAGCTATTTTTGTCCTGCTAAATGTATTCGTACTTCTCACTTCAAACGAGACTAAATTTAAACTTTCAGATCTATCGCACAACTCATAAACGACTTGGTTGACAATGACTGATCTAAAAGTAGCAGTTGTTGGTTCAGGAGTAATAGGTTTAACAACAGCAATTGAGTTACAGAAAAGCATCAGAAACGCAAATGTTAGTATTTTATCTGACGGTTTCAATGAAGACACGACCAGTTGGGTGGCAGCGGGGATCTTTAGACCTGGCGGTGAATTTAAAGGAGAAAATAAAGAAATTACGCAGTGAGTACGATACATGAATAAATGAAACTAAACTTTATTTTTCATGAAACATATACGTTTTGAATTTGTTAGTAGCCCTATTAAACAAATTGTATTTGAGATTTATGAATAATTTAACAATTTTCTAAATATCTAAACTAAATATTTGTCTAATTAGCTAAACACATACAAATGTTCTTTACCTGTTAGCATTTTTGAACAATCTAATTCAAATTATGCTAGTCAATATTTTATTGTTATTACTTCCCAGGCAACATGCTTTGGTATAAATTACGTCCTTTTTAGGTAATACCATACGTATGAATACGGTTGATGTACTACCCAATATATAGGTGAAAATATCCGCCCTATTAACGTATATTATTTTTCATATATAAAAGTCGGTTACTACTAATTTAGTAACCCATAATTGACCGTGTTTTGTATACGTCTATATTAGATTTATAGTTGTAATATACAGGGTGTTTATTATGTACTTGTACAAACTTTAAATAGTGAATCTTTGACTAATTTTAAGGCAAAAAGTTCATATGAACACGTGTCCTAAACCTCTCAACTTTTGTGCTACAGGGTGGTAAAGTTTTCAAAAAAAATCTATTTTTTCCAATAACTGTGAGACTATTGTAGATATGTTTACGAAATTTGGTACACGTATACTATGCATTAAGATGCATTTTTTGATGTACAAATTTATGCTTTCTACCAGTGGCGTCCATACCTACGGGGTTTGTATGTAAAAAATAGTATTCCACTGCTTCATCTTAAAACAAAAATTATTTTTAAAATTCCTATTTATTTTTAAACAAATTTAATCTCTTGAGTTTTTTCGTTCGATGCATAGTTTACGCTTTAAAAAATAAAATCCGTTTTATTTCAGAGTCAAATTGCTAAAATGTACAATTGTACATACATGCATAGCAAGCCTTGTAAACAACCGAGAGGTTTCCATGGTAGCGGAATCAGTCATGACAGTTTATTTAAAAAAAGATCATGATTTTTGTCATTTAAAAATGTATGTATGTAATAATTTATTGTCGATTATTGTGTTCAAAATGTACGAATATACCAATGCAGAAATGGCAGACATTTATTTCGTCTACGGAATTGCTCACGGTAAAAAGAATGTATCAAGCCCGATATTTTCAACGGGTGGTTCCACATGTCCAAAGTTTCATTAATATTCACGCAAGTTTTTGTGAAACTGGCAGCTTTAAAAGAACAATTGATATCACAGGAAGGCCTGCGACAGTTCGAACAGTTGAAATTGAAGAAGCTGTGTTAAATAGAATTGAAGAAGACCCGCAAACTAGTACAAGGAAAATTGCTCATGAATTGAATATTACGCATACAATTGTGTGGCAAATTTTAAAATCTCAACAACTTTATCCTTATCATATTCAACGTGTACAGGCATTACTACCTAGAGATTTTCCTCTCAGAGTAGATTTCTGCGTTTGGCTGCGAAATAAATTATTAACAACCCCGGATTTCTTAGGCCATGTACTTGTTACAGACAAAGCTTCTTTTTCTCAAAACGCCATCATGAACTTTCACAACAACCATATCTGGTCTAAGGATAATCCCAATGCTATCATAGAAAATAATTTCCAAAATCGTTTTTCTCTAAATATTTGGGTCGGAATTATCAGGGATCACCTTATTGGACCTTGCATTCTTCCACAAAGGCTAAATGGCAAAGAGTACAGAAGATTTTTGGAGCACGAGCTTCCTGAACATTTAGAAGAAATTGATTTGGCTACCAAAAACAGGATGTCGTTCATGCACGATGGCGCACCGGCACACTTTTGTTTGGCTGCACGTCAATTTCTGAACGAGAATTATCCTAATCGTTGGATAGGAAGAGCGGGACCGCAAGCCTGGCATCCCAGATCACCAGATTTAAATCCTCTGGATTTTTTTCTGTGGGGTCACTTAAAGACACTAGTTTACAAAACATCCGTTCAAAATGAGCAAGATCTAAGAAACAGGATATTTGAATCGTGTGCTATTATTAACCAGACACCAGGTATATTCGAAAGAGTACGTCAATTAATGTTAAGGCGAATTGACGCATGCGTTGCAGTAGGCGGCGGGCATTTTCAGCAATTGTAAATGTTATTAACTTATTTGTAAAAGTAGTTTAGTCTTAGTTTGTAAATAATCTAAGTTTATTACATAATAATATTGATCAATAAAAGACACATTTTTCACTTGTTCCATGCAGAATACTCTGCGTCGGACGAAAACTATGCGTCGGAAAAAAAAACTCATCAGACCAAATTTGCTCAAAACTAAATGAGAATTGCAAAAATATTTGTTATTTTAAGATGAAGCAGTGGCGTACTATTTTTTTCGGCAAAAATATTTAATACGAAACCCGTACGGGCGCCACTGGTAGAAATAATAAAATTATTTGTACATTAAAAAATGCATCATAATGCGAAGGAGATGTGTAACAAATTTCGTAAAAATATCTGCAAAATTCTTACAGTTATAAGAAAAAAATTTTTTTTTTCTGAAAACTTACCTTATTTATTCAAAATATCCTAAAGAATATAAAAAAAATTAATCCATTGCAAAAAATGCATTTTTTCTGGCTTAATTAGTTTTTCGTTGTTTAAACAATAACATCAACAAATATCGAGTGTCCTCTTACACTTTTATAATCAGGAAAGCCTTCCAGACATTTAAAAAAAAATTACAAATTATAAAAATTTTTCAAACGAATGCGCCAGTATGCTCTGGTCTATATACCAATAAAATTCTAAAGGACACATTCCGCAGGATGTTTATTTAACAAACAATACATGTATATCAAAATAAAAATCTTTGGTAATCACTTTGATTTGTTGTCCCAGACGTGCCATAGCTATATTTAAGCCAGTCTTGTAGGTACACCATAATTTTTATAGGCATGCCTTATGGCTTCTACAACAGAACATTTTTTGTTATAAAGGTCATACCACTGTTAAAAGAAACTTACCAAAAATAACCATCGTAATGTTATAATTTTTTATTGATTTTTATCACGGTCTGCCCAGTTAACTTTAATGGCAACTTTGTTCCTCGAAAGGAATTTTATAATGTCCATGGTAGGTACAATTCCTATCGTTTACTTCGCCGATGCAGGCCAGGCACATTTTCTGCAAAAAGGAATTAACATAACCACAGCCAGGGTTATTTTCGACATTTTATGAAATAGAAATCAACTGACGAATAAAATATTGAAAATGAATGTGATAGGAATAAATAGATAGCCTAAAAAACACTTATAAAAATAAGAAAAACAAAAGTAAAATTTCTGTAAGCATCTTACACAGAGTATCTATCTACCTATAAAACAGGAGTTGTTGTAAAATGCAGGAATTATTGAAGGAATAGAAAAATAAATCATTAATATTAATTTACCTATTCTATTAATCAATATCTTTAAACATGTGTATACAAATAGGTATAAATGTATAGATGAATGGATGAACGACCTACACAAAAATACACTATTCAATACACGCATATGCAAGAGTGGAAATGAAAAAAGATCATAGTCCCAGCATGCCATGTTCCATCTGCTTTATCAAATAGTTCCGTTTGTATGAGGAATTTGTTATAAATGTTACAGGTGATATATTAAAAAAAATATGGATGTACTATAAATAAATATACCAATAAGCTTTCAATGTAAATAAACCTAAATGTATACATATTATTTACTTCAGTCTACTGGCTTATCGTCAACTATAATATAATATTCGAGGGCCATTTTTTAAGTAAGAACCGTTTTGTAATGGAGTAAAAGAAACTTTATTTAATAACACAAACTAAAACATAAACATTTTTTCACTTTTCAACATAGTCGCCATTAATGTTCAAGCATTTGTCAAGCCGTGGCACAAGCTTTTGAATCCCTTCATCAAAGAACTCTGCTGTCTGACCATTAAAACAGTTCGTAAATGTTTCTTTAAGCATGTCATCATTGTCCAAACGCTTAACTAAGAAATTCCTCAAGTTTTGGATAGAGATGAAAGTCTGATGGTGCCAAGTTTGGGCTGTAATGCGGATGATTCAGTACTTCCCAGTGAAAATTGTCCAGTTGCGTTTATGTTATTGCTACGACGTGAGGCCGAGCATTGTCGTTCTTCATTAAGAACATTTGTGCTCCCTTTGTTGAAAAGCCTACATCATTTACGCTCATTAGCGTAAAAAGTACTGGCGCTGTAGTACGGGACTGGCTAAGAGTTGCTGACCTTGAACTGACGTCACCTGCCTTGATGCGCAGACACGATGCGCAATCGGTTCTTACTTAAAAAATAACACTCGTAGAATAACTAGAAGAAAAACGTTTAATTTATCCGTTAAAAAACGTCAATTATAAAAATAGTAGAAATCAACCAAGGCGAAATTCAAACGGGAGATATTAACGAAAAATACATATTATAATATTACATAAATATGTATATACGAATTTACTTTAAATAAACCTAAACGTATATTTAAGCACACTGTCTATAAATCGTTTATCTAAAAATAGTCGTATATTGGTAATTATGTACCATATGACGTATAAAAAACGTTTAAATAATCATTTAAAAACGGTGTATATAATAATTTTTAACTGTAAACGTATTCGGAATCAACCAATACCAAATTTAAACGAGAATTACGTATATGGAGTGCCACAGGGTTCAACGCTTGACCCCACATTTACTTCTATACTTTATGAACGATATTTCAGACCAGACATTGATTAATTCTCTTTGTATTCACAGAAAATGGATAGACGATTCCTGGTATTATTGGAAAAATATACAAGACAGTAGATATGGAGCAGAAGCTGGAGTTACTGAATTATCGGGATATACGTTTTCAAATAGATCTGAAAACGCAGTTAGAGTAAGTAGTTTTTATTGTAATAACAAATTTTTGTTGGTAAAATGTTTAGCAGCTCGTTGCCCAAATCAGTGCGGATCGTCGTAATTTAAATGGTTGTTCAATTTTTTCCAATCGTTTTGCATTTGAAAGTTCAGTTCAAAACTTTGTACATGCTCCAATATCGCTGTTTTTTTTTTTTTAATTTGGGTTTGTAGTTTGTAATAAGTGTAGTTATTATTATCAATATCATACTGTTTTAAAACTCTACAACTATTAACTAACTTCCTGTACTCTGGTGATATATAAACGATAAATAATAGATTAATAAAAAAAATCGATTTATCGAAAAGAAATCGATTAATCGAAAAGAATAGATTATTTTTAAGCAATCGATGAATTGAAAATAACTGATTATTTTAAATAATCGATAATCGAGCAATTCCAGTCGAATGTAGTAATTGACTTTTGCCAGTCGAACAAATGTCACTATTCCGCTATTAATATTTCAGGTTTGCATACAACATTCAATCTACTCTAGGGGTAACATGATTAATAATTATATACAAAAATAACTTCTGTATTCAAAATGAATATTTGAACAATCAAAACGATTGTTCATCACCTTCTTGACAAACTTCACGCATGGACGTTTTACACAAATCATTGATACGTTACTCTGGTAATGAATTAAATTAATTAAATAAAAATATTTTAACCATGCAGTGTTTTCACATACAGTTTGTTTTGATTGGCTGATGTATTACAGCTTTAAATAATCAGAATAATATATTTTTTCCTTTTTACAGGTTTTGTGGGAAACACCGAAAATTCATAGTATTTACAGTTGGGTATAAAATACATAACCATTCCGAAGTAGTCTTAGACACGAACAAAAAAATATATATAAAATTAAACACAAAACACAGTCGTAAAACTAAATTATTATTTAAAATTGCAGGTAAACAAAACAAAATACCATCAAAAATACTTCTGATTTATTAGTCTTAAAATTGTGTCATGGAAATTTATAATGTATTTAGAGTTTGTTTGGAAAGGGTTGTTTTCCCCGCCCTACTTTGTGACGCCACGCCTTGTTTATGTGCGATTCACAAAATAACGTAGTTTTAAGCGGACACATTGTTTCACGGATCTGTTGACCTCTTTTTAACTAAAGGCTTTTGCGGAAACCTCTTGCGTTCAATCAGCATATTGCAATCAGCATAAAGACGCAACTAGCTAAAGCGCAGTGGCGTACCAAAAAATAGATATTCACACGTATCAAAATAGTAAAATTATGAAATAAAATTGAAATTGTATTTTTATGATATTTCTGTGCACTGCACAAATGAACTAATGACGAAACCCGAAACCGAGTCTGTCCCAAATATATTGTTCTGTAGATCAAGTATATATAAAACAGTTAGAATGTTAATACTGTAATTCAAAGGTTTTTCTTCATTAATAATTTATATTTTTTACAGAATCCGTACATCGAGAAGCTGGTTCCCATCTACAGACCCGCTACAGAAACAGAGCTAACTTCGCTATGTCCGCAAAAATGGAAGTTCGGTTCTTATTACTCAACTTTACTTATCGAAAATAGCATTTATCTACCGTGGGCTACAGAAAAGTTCAAAGCCGATGGAGGAACCGTTATACATCAACGCGTTGACAGTTTACCTTCGTTGGGAGAAAAATATGATATTGTTGTTAATTGTGCAGGATTGGGGTCGCAAACTTTGTGCAATGATGACGAGCTTGTGCCTGTTCGAGGACAGGTCATTAAGGTATGATATGAAATTAGTTGTTTGACTACGACGACTAATGTAGAGACATTTTTAAAGAAAATGAACTGTTTGTCATAAGGTTCAGATAAATGAGATAGCAGAGTTAAATAACCCCATTGATTTACTAAATAAATCAGGAATATAAAGGTTGAACAGCTCGACTCGATATTAGAGTAACAGAACGCATGAAAATTTTTGAGAAATACTTAAGGTACGTTTACATTTGACATTTATTGCATGATATTTGTATCTGACAGTTGTTTAGTCCAGTGTAAACACACAAAATTTTCTCTCGGAGATATATTGGAGTATTTACACTGGACTAAACATTTGTCAGACATAAATCTCATGCAATAAATGTCAGATGTAAACGTACCTTTAAACATAGTTATTACTAATTGCCAATTAATGTTAATTATGTTGAAACATATTATTTACTTCTCTGATGATGTACAACTTCTTCTTACATATATGAGTATGTGGTAGAAGGTACTAGGATAGACCTTTTAAAAATACACACTTTTTTGTCTGACCCCCAAGGTAACGTGTTTAAACGAACAATAATTACAACCTAGAACAGATTACATTTTTTTACCTGCAGATAGCGTTATAGTTTTCTATTCTTCTTTATCATATTTTGTTTATTTTTAACTACAAATTAATAGGCTATTTTTTTTTGAGTGCCTTCTAATTGACCTCTACCTGTTTATGCGATTCGGCTCAAGATTTGTGTATTTTATTAAATTTTAGCCACCCTGTTTACGAATTTTGTAAAACTTTAAATAGTATTCAGATAAATTTTTGTTTGTATTTTTATTTTTAGAAGTAAAAGTAATTTATATAGAGTGATGCACCATTTAAAACCACTGCTTCTACTATTATTATTTATTGATAGAGGCATACAATAAACTTCTTTATATATTTTTTTAAGGTAGATGCACCATGGCTGAAAATGTTCTTTTATGCGGATAGCTCCACCTATATCATCCCAGGCTTCAAATCAGTCACATTAGGTGGCTGTAGAGAATTGGGTTCCTACGATTTAAACCCGGACAAATACGTATCCCTAGGTATTAGAGAACGGTGTGAAAACCTAGTACCTAGTCTCAAAGGGGCTAGAGAAATTAGAACGTTGGTAGGGTTAAGACCTTACAGAAAATCTGTAAGAGTAGAAAAGGAAACCAAGATTTGCATGTGTGGTAAAAAGGTGAAGATTGTACATCATTATGGACATGGAGGGTATGGTGTGACTGCTGCTCCAGGAACCTCTCTACATGCTGTAAGATTAGTTAAAGAGATGTGGGCTGGAAATAGTAAATTATAATACAAATAATAATTACTGGTTTTTGATAGATATAATAAGGATAGATTTTACCTATAACATTTAACCTATAACATTTAATACAAGTAATAAATAGTATAAATAGAAGTAATTAAAAAAAAATTATTGAAAATTAATCTAAGATTATCCAGCAAGCACATAAGCAACTCATCTTATTGAGCTGCAATTCCGAGATCTTTAAGTTCGCATGCAAAGTACTTTTAATCCCTAATATCCATGCAACCTCCGGATGTCTGCAACAGTATTACTTTTATAGCACATCTTTACTAAAATTGGTCATAAAAAAATTAAAAAATTCAAAAAATATATATATATATTTTTAATAAATAAAATTAAAACATTGTGATTAGTATTTACTTGAACCCAACTTGAGAGAGAGATGATCCTATGTTCTTGGTAAAAGAAGAGGACTGACTAGCCAAAGTAAGTATTAATAAAAATATTTAGGTAACAATAAAATAAAAAAGTATTTCAATATGTATAGTATATTTGTTCTTTGTTAGTTTAATATTTTTAAAAAGGAGACAGGAAATTATTTTATTGCTTGAAAAAACAAACAACAAATTTAAATTGCTTTCTACGAAACAAATATGTAAATTAATCACATGTGGCTTGGATATTTTTTGTTTATGCTATAAAGTAAAATAAATATATGACAATATATTAGAAGAGGATAAGTTATATTTTTAAATAAAAAGCTTTTACTTTTTCACAACTTAGATATTGAATAAAAAAAGAGATTTACCTACATGTTTAACTTTTAATAAAGAATATTAGCGTCTTGAAAAGGATATACTGGATCTTGATCAATTACTTCTTTATAGAAATTTAAATTTGGCAACTCTCTCCATTCAGCTCCATAATGCTCAACAAATTCGCCACGAATACTGCTTTCTGAGGATCCACTCGCAAAACATCAGGATTCAACTTTACTAATGATTTACCACGTTTATTAAGGCTTTTTGAAACTCCACAATCGTTTCTATAATTTACTTCGCCGTGTACTGTAATATTATTGGTTTCTTCTATCTTTCCAAAATAAATCTTTTGGCACAGTTAAACTGAAAATACCAGTTAGTTGGAGGTTTAAGCACTGACGTAGTTACTTTCATCCAATTAAAATAATCCCAGTTTTTTCCTAAAACCAGGACACTGGCAAATTCTTTAATTATTTTGAAATATTCTTCTGGATTTGCAATTGCAGGGTATTTTTTTTTTACTTTTCGTTCAATTAGTCCAAATACACGATCAGGAGAAAAAAATAAATTCAATTTTAGAGATGTGATTTGAAGCCAATCTATAAAGCCACGCAATGAACATTCCAGAAACAATTGAGTTTCTGTTCTGACCAGCGGATTCATCAGCAAAAAGACGAACAGTGGTATTTCCTTCAGAAAAATTGTATTTTGAAAGATAATTAAAGAGGGTTGAGGCTATGATACTAGAGTTTTTTGGTAGTTGCTGATCTGTCCACAGATATGAAGATACATTTTCTAGATTTAACCTTGCAGTTGATGTCCCCTTTAGGACTGTAAAATTATATAAATAAAATTGCTGTGAAAAATAAGCTGACTGATCAACCAGTTTTGGTAGAGCCAGATTTTTCTGACAATCTAATAAGAAACACTGAATGTTATTGTGTTCTGTTTTAAGATACCAGTGAAAAGCCTATGCCTTCAGCTTGTGTACTCTATTCGCTACCATAATTTCATTTCTAAGGTTTTGATTTGCTTCAGTCTTCAGTTTTTCTTGCACATATCTGTAAGAGGTGTTCCGAAGCCTATGTTGTAGTTAATCTTGACATAATTTCTAAATAAGCATTCTTTTACTCTTAAATGCTCATCCACTGATTCATTGTACATTTTATGAAGTTTTCGGATATTTAGCTCACTAGGCAAGTACCTTTCAGTACTCCCTGGACCCTGTCCTTTTTTATACGCAAGATTTAAAAAAAAATACGACAAACTTTCGCCCCTTTTCCATCAAATTTCCGAATGCTGTACTTAATTGTAAGCGATTTCTTTCCGCGAGTATTACCTCGAATCCTGGACTTCTTTGGTTAGTCAACGCTGCAATACTTATGTATTAGTATTCTTGGTATAGTTTGTCTTTTCTTTTTTAAAATAAGTCATGTAACGCTTTTACATCGCACATAATTATATTCCAAGTAATTTTAATGTTTGCAGTCTGGAATTTTTGGGAGGTCACTTGCCCCATATCTGCCAAAAAATACAACGCATTCTTCTCAATCTGTTAGAATGGCATGAAAAAAATTACTTGCAAGGAATTATTCCGTAGTTGCCTCTTATGGGTTTCTGGTTGCTTCTGTTTTTTTCTGCTTTTATTTGGAAGTTTTTTTGTCAATTTGGTTTCAAATACTTCCATTTTCCTTATCAAAAAACAGCGTGCACTTCTAAACAAAGCCCAAACGATACTATTCTTGGATACTAATTAAAAAAGCATGTTTGTTGTTCGTCCGTTGACAAAATATTGTCCGTTAGCAGAACGCAGCTCAACTATTTGTTAAAATTTACTTGGCGGGATATGTACAGCTGCAATTGGCGGATTTTGAATATAAACGTGAATTTAATGTTTAAATTACCCAAGACTTGGCGTATTTTGCGATTAAATGAAAATTCAAATACGTGTAGAATGCAACTCCCTTTCCAGAGTATCTCAATTTTCGTATTTTTTTGACTTGGCGGGTTTTGCATCTATACGACTCACATACAGAGTGCAAAGTGATTTGTCAATGTTGCCATTATCTTAATTACAGGTACTCTTGAATAGATACAGATTTCATCATCCGTTTGGCTTTAAATGATCAAAACTTTATTCCGAATAGAATTCACTGAGAGAAACGTTTGTTTAATGTTAAGAAACCTTATTAATATTTAACATATGGTAGGTTTGGATATGGCCGAACTTACGTAAGTTCACTATAACCACGTCATAAGTTAAAAGCTCATCAGTTAAAAAAAAAACACCGATATATTAATATTAAACTTATTTACTGGTTTAAAATGAAAATAGATTTATTAACATAAATCAAATATGTTAAATGTTAACAAATATATGTTTTAACGTTATATTTTAATTGTTCAATACAACATTTTGTTACGTGCACATTTTACCTTGGGAATATTTTACCCTAAAAAGATAAAGATGTCTTAGAAAAAAAATGAATTTATTCGTAATAAGATAAATCACAATATTAATAATAGTTTTCAGTCATCTGTGTTTCGAAACCCTAAAAATAATAAATATAAATAACAATATCAATAAGATATTTAGGAACATAAAACTTACCAATAGATTTAATCACACCCTTATTTCTCGCCTTCATCGTCTGCATATATTTTACTAAGTGTAGTTTTAATTCTAAAAAACAATACAAAATATAAATCGACATTAGATACCTCACGATGAGTAGAATGTTATTCCAACGAAATACTAAATTATAAATGTTTACCCTATTTAAATAATTTAGAGAAATTTAGTTATTTAGTTAGGTAATTTAGGGTAGATTTTCTTTAAAATCTTTATTATGATTTTATATAGGACTTGTTTATTTCTATCATGTCAAAGTCATTTTGTTGTCAATTTTCTTCTTTTTCAAATACTTCTAATTAATTAAAATAATTACATTAAGGTACAACAATCAGGTTAATTTAGATATCTTATCTGGACATGAACTGACCACTGACCACTTTTTATAAATCTTTTTTTATACTCTCATATCTGACCTTTTGAATAAAATGGCTTCTTGCTGAACCACCTGGGTTTAAGTTTTCGAATTTTCGGATTTATTTGGCCAGTATTTTTAACCCTCATCTTAATTCTTACAAGTTATGTTTCATTTAAGTTGAATCACATATTGTGGATTTTATTGCTTGTAAAAGAAAGGCCCCTCACATCTGTGGTAAGTTCAACCTGTCCATGCTTTCCTAAAAATCAAGTATTAATAATGTTGTTTCCTTTTAGGCCTTTAAGTACTTATTTAAGTACTTATTTACGTACTTATTTACGTTTTATGCGTTCATTTATTCATTGAATATTTATTTGAACAAGATTATTTGAATCGAGAGATAGTAAGACTTCAAATCCCTTAGCCCTCAAGTAAGGACTACCTTTCTTATTTTAATGTACCTGAACGTAGCAGCTCTCATTACCATCTGTACACTAGAGTAAAGTACAATATATATAGTTGATAAGATTTAAGATAATAATTAAAACTCACCTTTTTCTGTGCACCTTATAGTACTACAAGGGGGAACGTAAATCACCTTTATATTATTAACAGTATAGAGAACATACTAAACATTTGTAGGAGATAATAACTCCATGGTAAATTTTGTGCATCAACTAAAAGATAAAAATATTAAATTAAATCCCAGGACAAAATACTTTCATTAACCACCCCACTCTTCGAATAATAAATTTAATAGAGTTAGCTTGGGAAAATAGTAATCTTTGCCACCCCTTACAGTCCTGGGGAGACTAGGAGCGTGGCAATTTGTATCATAGTTATCAAATGTGAACTTTTACTATTAAACGTTATTTGTAAATGTTAAAATGTGATTCTTAACAGTTAATAAACCTATGTTTTGTATTATATTTCATTATTTAATAAAACAGTATTCTATATTTTCAAGACATCTTTGTATCTTAGTTATCAAATCTTACATTTTATTATTAAAAATATTAATTGTAAATGTTAAAATTTGTTTTTTAACAGTTAAGAACAGTATAGTTTAAGAAACCTTGTGTATGTTTAATATTATACCTTAATTGTTTAATAAAATACTATTCGATTTCCAAGACATCTTTATATTTTAGTTATCAAATGTTTTATGTTATTATTAAACATATTATTTGTAAATGTTAAAATTTGTTTTTATCTGTTAATTGATGATTTTGAATCTAGTAATTTATATTTGTTAGTATTTAGCCTAAATATATTAGGGATATGAAATCAAAGGTAAACATACAGAAAATATATTTTATTAAATTGAAAAGTTAACAATACATGCTTATAAATTTCAACAAACATGAACAAATTAAAAAAACTAATATTAAATGTAGCGGCCGCTAGGTGGTACAATGGTACCTCCGGCTGAAATTTTATACGGTGAGTAGCAGGTCCATCAGGAAGTGTTATCTACAAGTATTTCGTTTATAACCCCTGCATGTGGGACGCCAAACAACTCAAAATTAAGCAATTTATGTTTCGTGACGCACGATCGAATCTCGGTCAAACCCAATACATTGTTTTCTTGGAAAAACTATGAAAATTAAAAAAAAATACTTTTTAGGAGACTGTCTTAAAAAATAACATCTTTAAAATGTCACTGTTTTGGCCGCATTTATTTTACGGCAGATTTTTATAAGTATAGGTTTATTATACTTATCGTTAGTAATGTTATACAAATTTAATTAGTTAACGATGGAATTTTATTCGATTAATAAAAATTTGAAACAATTCTTGCATATAAGCCCCATTTTAAAAACAAGAATGTGAAAAAAAATATTGGCACAACTTGATAATATAGTCGCATAAAAAATGTTGTGTACACCTCGACCGTATAATCTTTTTTGACTTAACCAGAAGTTGCTTGGTATCGGCAGCAAACTTTTGATTCGGCCAGAAAATATCAACTTTATGGCCTTGGTACACAAATAACTATTCTATTGTTTGATTAAGGATAATTTTCTTACCGTAGTAGAATTTTATATAAATAAAAAGTTTATTCGGTCGTGTTTATTGTTTTTATAAAGTTTAAGTACATACGGGCACTACATATCTTTCGGAAATACTGTTCCATCTTCTGGTGCCAATTATTAAATATTGACTGGCACCAGAAGATGGAACAGTGTTTCCGAAACATGTAGGTACTTAAATTTTATAAAAACAAGAAGCTTTCGGAAAAGACGCTTTACTTAGTTGGAAATATCCCATGAATAGCATGTTTTTCATTATTTGACTTTAATTAATTACAATATTCACGAAAATAATACGTACCTATTATTAGAATTTAATAAATAAATTTGATTACTTACTAGAATAACAAATCACTGTAAACTTTTAATAAACTTAGCTGCTAATGTCGGTCGGTATCACTCACAAAAAGAATGATTCTGCACTGCGAACTGTAACCAGACAAGAACGTGCATTAGAAACCACGTGGTGTTCCATGTTGCCAATTTGTGAAACTCAAATTACCTATCCACTGGGACTGCATTAAAAAAAATGCAAATTTATAATACAATAATTAGTTATAGGCCACTAGTAATACAGCAAACAACTTTTAAATTAATTTACGCTAGTTTTATGTTGACGATAAATAGAAAAAATATTGCAAAATGGTACCTAATAGGTAATTTGAATTGTTTACATTTCCTATGATAGCGCAATAACAAAACGTAAATGGCAACGTTGAGATCGGTGCATTAAGGTGACGTTGAGTCTGGGTATTATTAAAAATATATTCGTTAATAGTTAACTTGTCATAGTTGTATATTAAAATTGTTATATTTAAAGTGTTGTATTTTAATATTAAGAAATTTGTAATGTTTAGATAAACATAATAGTTATATTTAAATATACGTATATTGCCGAGTAAACTATTTGTTAATATCTACTATACCTTACTGTAACAAATGTTTTGTTAAAGAAAAACTCGTATTTGTGAGATATTTATTAATAATTATAATATTATGATATTAATAAATTTCCTCAGTTATTTAAAGAATTTCTTCCTAACTTACAATATTTTAAATATAAACTACTTTTCTCTTTCAGTGAATGTTTGAAATCCGTGATGGAAACAAGTTGACTGGCTTTTTCTTCGATCTATCAACGAATGCGTGAACTAAAATCATTGGTAAAGAAGGTAGACAATGGTATTACCGCGTATAATATTTAAAATTTCTGCTTGTATTTTATTTCTCAATTTTCTTCGTTATTACATCGATTTGAGAATTGGTTTTAACTTTAATAGTATAGTATTTAACAAGCCATTACCCACGAAGAGAATATTATACTGTTTCTATGACTTTTTAACAAAATAACACCGACACCGCGACCATTTTGATGGCTGGAGCGATAAAGTAAAAGTGAAGTTGACGGTTGACGGATGACATATGTTGCCAACAGTGTTGCTAGACAGATTTTATGTCAAATTTTCTGATTGGTTTTAAAATATTAATGACATTAGATTTTTTTAATGGCTGAAAATAATTGAGTAATAAAAGAAATAATTAAGTTGTAAAAAAAACTCCCTCTATGAGTAACCACTTACATTAATCAATAGAAAGCAGATAAATAATGCGTATATTGTTTAGTAGTCATAGAAAAAAATATAAGGTTTTTTTAAATTGTTTAAACTTTAATAAAAAAAAGATATTATATAATTTTTTAATATTTGTTTAAACTTTTATTTTTATTGTTTTTAAAGTTGCATTATTGATATTAGCGTCAGCTCTGATACATTTAAAAAATGTCTATACCAAATCTTAGGTTTTTATCTTTTATATTTTTCAAATTAATTTGGAACTAAAATGCAATTAAACTCACACTTTAAATGTTTCATTTGTATTGGTTTTCTATACCGAGTCTCTATTATTTCATAGGAAGAGTATTGCTATTTCTTAAACAGTAACAGATAGAAAGTTGGTTAAACTAGTCAAAAGTGGCGCAGTTTTATGCTGATTAAAATGATGTCAAAAAATCTTTCTTCTCTACAGGGAGTTTCAAAAGATCAGACAAAATATGAAAATTGTCATTTCTGTAAATTCATTCATTTTTGGTCTGATATTTTGAATCTCCCTGTATATATCAAGCGTTTCTTGGTAACATTTTAATGAGCACAAAACTGCGAAACTTTTGTCTAATTCAATCAACTTTCTATCTGTTACCGTTTAAGAAATAGCAATACTGTGCCCCTATGAAATACTAGGGACCCCGTATTATTTTTATGGAATTGAACTCCCAAAAAGCGAACAAAACTTTTTTAATACTATATAAGTTCACTGGTTTATTCGGTCGTTTTTATTGTTTTTATAAAATTTAAGTATAGGCACTGCGCATATATTTCGGAAACACAGTTCCATCTTCTGATGCCAGTTAATATTTAATATAATATGGGGACGATTACTGGATGTGTTTGTGACTGTATTGCCTTTTGTACTTTTCTTTTAACGTGAAAATGAATCAAAATGTAAATTGAATTTCTGTATATTTTAAATATATGACATTACATTTCTTAACTGACAAAATTACCTATATCTATGGTAACATGAAATTAAAAGGGCAGAGTAGGCTCCAACATGCCCCCCGCCTTGAAAGAATTTCAATGAAGTTGAATAAAAACAAAATAACACTGAGTCTGTAAAATGTACAATTACAATGTTTGGATAGGTAAAGGACATATATTAGCAACAGCACGACATACTTCTCCATTAGCGGTTTTTAATGTTACTGCACGTACAACACCATCTTGTCCAGGGTGTAAAGCTATCACTCTTCCTAATTTCCAATGTAATGGAGGCGTGTTTTCTTTAATGGTGACTAACCTATTTAATTGAATATTTGGGTTATTAGTTGACCATTTCTGACGACGTTGAAGTTCTGTCAAATAGTCCTTTGACCAACGATTCCAAATGTGTTGCCTAATGCTCTGAAGACGTTGAAAACGACTTAGTCTATTGTCTGGAATGTCTTCGTTATTTAATTCTGGTAGTGAAGTAAAAGTTCTTCCAATAAGAAAATGAGCCGGTGTAATAGGACTGATATCATTTGGATCAGAACTTGCAGGATGCAGCGGTCGAGAATTTAAAATTGATTCAACTTGTACTAATAAGGTCAGAAAGTCCTCATACACAAGAAGAGCATTTTGAATAACTCTTTTGAGGTGAAATTTTAGCGACTTAACGCCGGCCTCCCAAAGGCCACCAAAATGAGGTGAGTAAGCTGGAATGAATGTCCAGTTAATTCCTTCATTTGAGCAAAATGTAGTAAATGAATTGTTATTCTGTTTTAAAAAATTTGAAATTTCATCTATTTCATTCTTAGCACCAATAAAATTGGTTCCATTATCGGACATTAGTCTAGCAGGCTTACCTCTTCTAGCTATGAAACGTCTAAAGCATGCTATAAATGAATGTTTTGTGAGATCAGTAACAATCTCCAAATGAATAGCTTTAGTAGTGAGGCAAACAAATAAACATACCCAAGCCTTTAATTTTTTGCAACCCCGACCAAGTCTGTCTTTGAGGATAAATGGACCTGCGTAATCAACACCGGTTGCATAAAACGGAAAAGTTGACGTGACTCTTTCCTTAGGCAGATCACCCATGAACGGAGGATTACATTTTGGATTAACACGAAAACATATTACACAATTATGTACAGTTTTGCGTGCCACATTGCGACCGCAGATAGTCCAAAATCTTTCTCTTACGGCGGCAAGAAGATGTGAAGGGCCGGTGTGAAATAATTTATTATGCATATCCTGGAAAACTAAACTAAAGTATGAATTTTACTTTTTCTTGAAACTTGTTTTTCCTTTTGTAACTGAGCAATTTCTGATGTGAAATGTTTTTGCTGAACCAATTTTACTAAAAGGTTGAGTCCAGAGTCGAACTCAGATGGTGATAAAGGACCTGATATCT